GATTGTTCTACAAATAGGTATTAAACGGCTCCCCTGAAAGCAGGCCAGACAGTTAACTCTCACTAACCCTGCTCCCAGTTGCGTCTCTATACAAAAAGATCGGCACCAAGGACCATGAGCCCCAATCTTTGTACGGCCCAGTCGGCAAGACTCTGTAATTAGACACTTGTTTATGTTTTATAGCATAATTCCTCAAATTATACAGCTTTGGTCACATAGTTTGGCTCGAATAGTCATCAGGTGTTTTGAGAGGAAGATGGGTATAAGTCTATAGCTCACTCACTCATGGAGCTAAGCCCTTCATGAGAAACTGCCAATTGTGCAGCCACTCGAGAACTTCCCAGCATTTTATGGAACCCGAAGGTTCATTACCGTGTTCACAAGAGCCCTCACCTGGTTCCTGTCCTGAGGCAGAGCAATAGCTATAGAAATAAGTGGATCAAAAAGCGCAAAAGTTACATCTTCATTAAAGAGACGGGTGGTCACCGCGCAGTGTAACGCGTACTTCAGCGTCGTTATCTCAGGTTTTATTAAAATCTTATGCACAAAAATTAATTTTGAAATAAATCGAACTTCTTATTGTATATATTTCTTTAGCAATATTTAAACAAGAACTTCTGGGAAGAGCTAATCACCTATTTTACTTTGATATTACACGGATCGCATAGACAGTTCTTCGTTGCCGCGGGAACGTGTTTAGCGAGTGTTTGCCTGGCAACGATAACGGAATATACATGCAGACACAGCCTTGTGAGAGGGATTTATGAAGTCTACAGTTAAGATGGGCTGAGGTACCATGTTATGCATACCAAGGTCCGTAAATATTGGTTCTGGCATTTAAAATTTGATGGGGGAGGGGACATTTATAGACACACAGCATGATGTTCTCGTAATCCTACTTTATTTTTTTTTAAATAAGGAAAGTAGGCTAAAAATAAATGGTTAATCTTATTATCTGAACCAGTTGATTAAATAGGAACTGCCTGGTAATTATTTTTTGGAAATATCTACTTCATCTTAATATTATAATAATTTCTTTCTGTGGACAGAAAGACGCATTGTGGAGCTAGTTTTACTTTTCGATTTTTAAGGGAACACTTCCACTTTGTGCTTGTTTAAATTAAACTTTCATGAAGTTAAATATTGGTGTAAAATACAAACTTCTTTACTGGAATATTTTACAGCAGTTAGTGGGTTCGCTAAGATATGTAGGAGATCCTCTTTGTGAGTCAGGAAACATCAGCGTATTGTGCGGTTCCTGGAGTAGGTGCTTCGGTTTGATACCCAACAGAGTGGCCCAGGACAATAGGCCCACCATTTATATAAAACAAGAAATATTACTCACGGCCGAAATAGTTAAGTCAATATAGTGACTAGGCTACAGAGAAGTCAGTACTCGATTCTGGGCAAAGGCAAGGGAATGTTCCTTTCATCGCGTCCCGGCTGATCCTGGGGTGTACAAGCACTCCACTCCTCCAATGGGCACTTTGGGGTCTTTCTTTGATTGTAAAGCAATTGGAGCGTGAAGCTGACTATTCTATCTGGTTCTAGTGTCGAGGTTAAGAATGCGTGGAGCTATATCTCCACTCCCTAGAACGAGTTTATGGCGTTATATCTGATTGAACACAGGGGCATCTTTACCTTTACAATTTTTCATTCATTCATCAGAGGCTTTACACCCGATTTATTGGGCTCTGGCATCTTCTTCAGTTTCGTATCTTTTTTTTACACAGACGGTAGGACTCCTTGGACGAGTGATCAGCCCGTCGCAAGGTGCCGCTACCTACACACAAGACAACACAAATACAGTATAAACACAAAAATGCATGCCTTTGAGTGGTATTCGAACCCACGATCCCAGCTTTAGAGCGAGCGAAGACAACTCATGCCTTAGAGCACGTGACCACCTTGATCGGCAACATTACCTTCACTTTATGAATTTTAGTCTGTTCGATATCCACAGGTTCTGAAGCTAAATCCTTCTTTGTGTCTTCTCCACCAACTCGTAATGTTAAATTAAAATCGCTTTTAAATTGAATGTACATTTTGAATTTCCGAACATAGAAATTGGAATTTTCGTGATTCAATGTGAAACACGACTCTCCGAACGTCACACCGAATTCGTTCCGTCTTTCTGTTATTCGATAGATTGTTTCGGGAAACAAACGCTGGACTGTCCAGTTCCGAGACCACCGCAAACACACAGAGCCTGTCGGCACAGAGCTATTGTTACCACGGCTTTGTCCGCCGCAAGACTGAAATACCTTTCGGATTTCCCTCTTTCATTGCAAAACGAAGTGCTGTATCCTTTTTGTAATCCTGTTCGTGGCGTCTAGTGACTTTTTTTTTGCGTCAGCATCATGACACCCATATCTGGTTAGTTGGGCTTTTCACTTTCCTATTCACAACTTCTTCGAAGAGGGTCTTGCGTTTTCTTTGTCATCATGTCGACCACCCAATTTTTCACATTCCCTTTTTTTTTTCACCACCCCCCAACCTTTCCTATTCGGTCAATGATATATTAGAAGACTTGTAATATAAGCATAAGGTGGTGAACACTCGTTTTATGTTTGCCGACACTTTGCTTGACACTGGTTGTATGAATAAGAGAACACATTCCTCAGAATATGAAGAAGAGGTATGTGACCAGGCAGCTACCCAGACAAGGAGATAAATATTTCATGTAACGGATAAAAGCGAATTTGCAGTCAAATTATATTGGCGGTCTCTCACCACATATTAAATTCTTTATAAAATATAGGACATTAATTTTATTGCCCATCTGTATGGCTACTGTGACCGCCTCTGTGGTCTAATAGTCAGAGTTTCTGGCTACAGATCTTGAGGTACCGGTTTACGATTCCCGGCGCTACAAGATTGTTTGAGAAGTAGTGGGTCTGGAACGGGGCCCACCCAGCCTCGTGACGATAATTGGGAGCTATTTCAAGGAAATAGCGGCTCCGGTCTAGAAAACTGAAGATTAACGGCCGTGATAATCCGTTGCGGTGACCACGTGACACCGTCTATCCGCAGAAGTTGGCACTAACTTCGCTAACAAGCGGCGGTCGCTCGGTCGGTATAGCTCGCTTGCGGACTACAGGCCACGTTTTTTTTTAGGTTTGTCCGCAGCTGTGGGTACCGCACAGATGGCAGAATGATCCGGTTTCGGATTTCGTCACCCGCAGGGCCGAATGGGCATTGACTAGGCCATTTTTGTATGTGTGTATACATGCCCACAGATATGTATATATATGTGTGCATTTTTATTTCCCCCCCCCCAAAAAAAAAATAAAGAGGAGCGCTTCTTGCTCTGTTCACAAAATACTGACAACTTTTGAAAGCAGTCCAGAACCTTTTGTCTTCTCGTCTGCTGTCTAAGAACATAAAAATACAAAACTGGAATTTTGCCTGTGGCTCTGTGTGGGTGTGAAACTTGGTGTCTGGCATTAAGGTAGGAACATACTCTGAGGGTGTTTGAGAACAAGGTGCTGAGGAAAATATTTGGACCAAGAGAGATGAAGTGACGGGAGGTTGGAGAAAACTACATAATAAGGAGCTTCTTAACACGTACTCTTCTCCAAGTATAATTAGAATGATCAAAGCAAAGATGATGAAGTGGGAAGAACATGTAGCATAAATGGGGGCGAAGAGACATACATATAGGATATTGATGGGAAAGCCAGGAAGAAACAGACCACTAGGAAGACCAAGACATAGGTTGGTGGGTAATATCAAAATGGATCTTAGATAGGATTGGGTGGTATGAGCTGGATCGGTCTGGCTCGGGATAGGGACCAGTGGAAGGCCCTTGTGAACACAGAAATGAACCTTCGGGTTCCATAAAATGCTGGGAAGTTCTTGAGTGGCTGCGCAACTGGCGGCTTCTCAAGAAGGGCTCAGCTCAATGAAGATAATTAGTGTTCATTAAAGAAGACATGCTCTAATTACAATCCCCTTGAGATCAAGTCCCTCCTGAAGATGTATTGGGGGGCGGTAAAGTTCCGCGCGTCATTAACCTCTTCGCTAGGTACAGAAAGAGTGGTCAGCTTCACGTCTTGACTGCTTTACACATGGAGAAAGATGTGAACAAAGAGACTGACTGAGCCTCAGTGATGTGTTGTGGCGGAAAGAGACAGCTCCTCCTTCTGACAGGAGGAGAGGTGTGGGAACCCCATGTAGAATTTCGTATAATTTGCTCACAATTCACCCCGCTCTACTATATTATAAATTTCTTGTGTTTTGCGTTCTCAAAACGACAATACCGTCTCGTATGAAGACGCTGTTAGTATGTGTGCGTATATTAATAGATCGAACCCCACAAGTTCCAAATTAATTTATCCGCATTTCAGAACTTTCAGATTACTTCATCATTAACTGGAATTCGATTTCACACATGTCGGGCTCCTCTTGAGATCAGTTTTGCTGAACATATGAAAAACCTGAGAATTCATATCACTTTATTTCTTCTAATTGTAAGATTGGGCACCCGGTAGCTTAGCTGGTTGAGGCATTGTCATAAGGTCGTGGGTTCGACTCTCGAGGTCATTGGATTTTTCAATTGATCTAAACATTTCAGCCGCACTATGGCCCTGGCGTCGACTCAGCATCTAACAGAAATGAGTACCAGGAATCTTTCTGGAGGTAAAGGGCGGCCGACGCGTAAGGCTGACAAGTTCACCGCAAACTATGAGCCGATTGTCTAGGAAATGTGGGAGCCTCGACGTCTCACAAACCTATGGGCCTCCACGGCCTGTTACAGGGATAGCTTTAATTGTAAGATTATTTGAATTGTTGGGCTCAGTTCCTTATTAGGCCGGAGCGTGATTCCTACTAGTGACGGACTGAGCCGGGCCGAAAACTGTAAATAATCTAACTTCTGCTCTATTGCCTCTACATCACAAATATCTTTATGTGTGGCTCATGCCAACGTACTGTTACATGGATTTGGGCGCATCTGCAACAGAACAAGGACTAAGTAGCGTGTGTGCTTGTTGTTACAGGTGATAGACGCGGAGTACCACAGTAGCCCCGCCATACCCTCGATAGCAGTTATCGTGGTCTGCTCTGTGCTGCTGCTTGCCATGGTGCTCATTGCTTCAGTACTAGTCTGGAAGTAAGTGTTATTCTGCTTGTTGCTTTAGCTTCCAAAGTCATTGTGTGTTTCAGGATCCATTCTTTTCTTTATAAAGCCCCTCTTAGGATCTACACGATATTTCTTGTTATTATGCTTCCGTAGTGTTACTGGGGCAGATATAGCAAGAGATTCCTTTTATGCGTTCCCTCTTGCGTAAGTAGGTAAACTGCTCGTTCCATTTTTTTACGGTTGTATATTAATATAGTGGTCACTTTTTGGGGGGGCGGATATATGGACTAGTCCTACCGATTGGGCCCAACAGAGGAAAGAGTGCGATCTCCGAATCATCTCCTAAAGTAATATTAAGATGACAGATAATGCCCATAAATTGATCATTTTTATCCATTAAATATTTAAATTTTAAGAAATACAGGACGTACCACTCATGTAACTAAGTTTTGTGCTTATTTGAGTATCATAAATAGAGTCTTTAATACGATTTCTTTAAAATCACGGGTACAAGTACTTTCCTCTCACCCTACGAGAAGGCGTTTGAGAATATGGCGCTGAGGGGATTCCCCCGACTTGTATTGTGAGATAAGAAGCAACAAGAGAATATTACGTATTATTCGAATCACTAATTCGGGGAGGATATGATGGGAGGAACATGTAGAATGCATAGATATATCAGATATCCGCATACCATTTTGGTCTTAAGACGTAAAGCGAAAATACCACTTGGTAGGCGTAACAGTAGATAAATAGTTATTATTAATGTGGGCTATGCAATAAATTTGGTCTGGAACGGTGTCCACTCAGCCTCGTGAGGATAATTGAGCTATTTCAAGGAAATAGCGGCCCCGGTCTAGAAAACCGAAATTAATGGCCGTGGGGATTCGTTGCGCTGACCACGCGACACCCTCTATCCGCTAAATTTGGCACTGACTTCACCGACAAGCGGCGGTCGCCCGGTCGGTATAGTTCGCTTGCGGACAAAAACCACAGATGTAAGATTTGAGGTTTTCACGGCGTTGACTATGAAGAAAGCCGTCTTCAGAAGACTGCTTTCTTAAAACCACAGAGAGTGAATTTGTTTTTGTTTATGGGATAGATTTACTAGGCTCAGGTAGAATGCAGTGGCAGGCTTTTCTGAACATGGCAATGAACTCTCGAGCCCTATAAAATGCGAAGGATTTATTGGTCAGCTGGATGATTAAGGTGCCAGGTACTTAAAATTTTGTCTACCGCTGTAAAATATACCACATAATCCTTTATAACTTTTAAATGCGCAAGCTTGCAGTAATATTGACGTCGTCATTGGACTCAGAAAGCCCCATAACTAAACCATGGGCAATGACGTATGGGATTTAATCTTCTTAAAGCGGTGGCTATGAAGATTTCCATCTTCTTGGGTGTAATACCCAGAGCTCAGTAACCGTCAACCGACGTCTCAGACGAGCACATAACCTCCTTCTTTGGCACTGAAAAGTGAGCGGAGCTCTTATTGTTGCCTTCTGAATGCTGATAACTTGCTTGGCTTACTTCTCAACCCTGAAGATGGAGGTCATATTTTCCTCTGAAACGTCCGTTAACTTTCATATCCCAGAAGATCTTACTTACTTATGGAGCTGAACCCTTCTTGAGGAGCCGCCAAATCTGCAGCTACTCAAGAATATCCCAGCATTTCATGGAACCCGAAGGTTCATTACCGTGTTCACAAGAGCCCTCCACTGGTCCCTATCCTGAGACAGATCAATCCATTCCATACCAACCCATTCTATCTCTCTAAGATCCTTTTTAATATTGTCGACCCACCTACGCCTTTGTCTTCGCAGTGGTTTCTTTCCCACCAATATCCTATACGGATTCCTCGTCTCCCAATTCGTGCTACATGTCCTGCCCCCCTCATCCTCCCTGACTTGATCATACTTGGAGAAGAGTACAAGTTATGAAGCCCCCCATTATGCAGTTTTCTCCTGTTCTCAAACACCCTCAGTCTATGTTCCTCCCTATGTCAGAGACCAAGTTTCACACCCATAAGATAGAAGTTTTAAATAAAGTTATAGGTTTCAGTGATCGTTCATTTTGGGCCGCTTCTGTCCTCCATGGCTTTTGTTGTATTTCATTCATTAAAGCGAGGACCGAGTGACGCCCAGAGTTATTTACAGGGATATAATATTTTAAGCGAACCCTTCCCAAGCCAAAGACTCTTATTTTAGTTACTGCTGAATGTCGCCAGGATGACTGGGAAGCGGAGTTCTGGATATTTGGTGTTTCGATAATAACAGTTTCGCTTTATCGTTAATCGGTTAAACAAAATAAATAAAATGTTAGTTTCCTACTGTGTATTTACGACTTCGTTTCTACACAAATTACGCCAAGTGGAGGAAGATGGGGTAGTTATATCATAAAATTATAAAATGCTAGTGGTCACTGAAGTACGTTCTGTGACGTCACGTTTACAAACGGGGCTCCAAGTCACACAGTTTGCTGGAAAGTGAAGCGATATGGTCTTTGAGTAATAAATTTGGATATAAAGACGGAGTAAGTGGAATCTTGTTTTCAAATATGTGTAACACATTTATCAGATTACGCAGCGCTTCAAGAACGCTTCGACCCAACGTACATTTTTATAGGCAATAAAAACGTTGCGTTAGTTAT